CGAACCCGTGGGCTCAGGCAATCCATTCACCTCAGTCTCCCAAAGTGCTGGGATTACAGGCGAAGCCACTGAGCCCAGCTAGGTGATCTCATTTTACATTTTATTGGTTAAATCGCATTGCCACACCTAAATTTAAGAGGGAAGAGAATCAATATTCTATTATGTGCTTCAAAAAAGAAGGAGATGAAATAATTCTGAATAGACTTAATGGCTGTGATAACCAACATAGAGATCATGTTTTGGAAAAGAAGATGAATAAAGAACTCCGTCAAGCCGGGCTCGGAGGCTCAGCCTGTAATCCCGCGTTTTGGGAGGCTGAGGTTACTGGATTGCCTGAGCCTGCGGGTTCGAGACCCACCCGGGCAACTTGGCGAGACCTCATCTCTACAATAAATCAAAAATTTAGCCGGGTGTGGTAGCATGAACCTGTAGTTCCAGCTACTTGGAAAGCTGAGGTGGAAGGATCGCCAGAGCACAGCAGGTCAAGGATGCAACGGCCAGGAGCAGCCACTGCACTCCAGTCTGGGTGACAGAGTGAGACTTCAACTCAAGGAAAAAAAAAAAAGAAACCCGTCATATTCTCAAACTTTCACTGAGAAACTTGAATAGACCTCTGCTTGAGCCCAGCACTTCATAAATATGCAATTGTAAAATGCAATGCCCTCTGTTGGAAATTTTATGATAAAATTTTGGCAGTATTTGAAAACTGCCAGGGGGTGGGGCAGGATTGGCAGTACTGGGAAACTGCTGGCGAGGGCATACTTAATCAACAAAGGCTCCTGCACAATGATCACTTGTATACCCAAACCTGAATTTATCCCACATCTTCAAATTTTTAAAAATAACTCTGGAATTTAAGAAATCAGTAGAAAGTAAGGACTACAGGAATTTCACATGAATATAAATAAATTAGATCAAGTCAAAGTAGCATTGAAAAGAACAGATCTTCAAATATTTAGGAGACATTGGACACCACCTAGATCCTGATTTTATTGATGTCAGACCTACATTCCAGAACCATTGCAAACTGAATGTAGATTGTTGCAACAATGATGAATTTTTATCTCACAACTGTTAGGATGAATAATATCAATAAGAAGAAAGATAAGTGTTGACAAGATTTGAAGAGAAAGAAATCTTGTACACTGTGAGTTTTAAAATCATACAGTGATTACAAAAACCATTATTAAATAATTCCAAAAAAATAAATTACTGTACAATCCAGGAATCCCTTTTCTGTGTATATAATCGAAGGAAATAAAGGCAGTATATTAAAGATGTATCTACACCCCTGTGTTCACTGCAGCAGTTGTCACAATGGCCATGCTATGAAAACAACCAAAATGTTCGTGGGTGCTGAAAGGAGAAGAAAATTTGTATATATACAACATAGAATATTATTCAGCCATAAAGATTCACAGCATCCCACCATTTTAACATCACAGATGAAACTGTAACACATATACGTGAAGAAAGCCAGGCACACAAAGAGAAATACTGCATGATCACACCTATGTGTGAAATCAAAAAATATTGCACTCATACAAGCAAAGAGTACAATGATAGGGCTAGGGACTGCAGGTAGGGAAAATTGGAGATATTCAGAAGGTACAAAATTAGGAGTCTAATGACCTAGTGACTATAACTGATAAAAAGTCTTGTATCCTTAAACATTCACTAAAATAATAGACATTAAGTGTTCTCATTATTTAAAAAAGGGTAACTCTGTAAGGTGACAGATATGTTTACTATGTTGGTTGTATTCATATTTCACAATGCATAAACAGATCAAATCATTACATGACACAATAAGTATATGATTATACATATTTGTAAAAAATAATACATGCTAGACACACAAATCTATAAGCACATGTATAGGTCAAATATGTCCACACATATTACATTGTCATTAGCTTAATACTGAAAAAAAGAAAATTATCTCTCCAATAAGTAAAAAAATTGCAGACTTTGTAACTTGCTCATGTAGTTTCAGCTCCTAGGAAGGCTGAGGTGGAAGGATCACTAGAACCAAGCAGGTCGACTCGGGGGTGGCTGTTCACAGAACCCAGCAGGTCGACTCTGGGGTGGAAGTGCCACTGCACTTCAGCCTAGGAGGCAGAGTCAGACTCCAAATCAAAATGGATTAATAAACCATCAATTAAAGACAAGACGGGAGGAGTAGAATGGGAATTCTGAGCGATGGAGGAGGGATGTATGCCCCTGACTACACAGACTACCTTCACAGGCCCTATTTAAAATAGAAAAAGAACTAGTGTTGTGCTGTGGAGTCTCTATAATTCTTCATTTTGCCATTTTCATAGATGCCATACTTTCCCGCCTCCCCCCCCTTTTTTTTTACAAAAGTGCTGATGAACTCACATAAAATAAATCTCATAGGGGTAAATTCTTCACAAATTACCATCATAGGGTCTCATTTCCATGAGCAGGTTTTTAAGTTTGCTGACAGTATTGCATATTTTGGAATCACAAATAAAATCCATTGGAACATATAATATAAACCACGTTTTATTTTTAATGTAGATTTACACACCGGTTTACACCTTACATACTATGACATGAAAGCTGGTTCATCAGGAATCAAAAGACTTGCCTCTGAGGTCATGGGAATTCAGGAACATCAATTTTAGGAAGCTACTTGGAGGCAGAAGTGCTCCCAAAGTTTCCCATTTCCTAGACAGAAAAATTCTGTAGATAGGCCCCAGAGAGGTAGGTGGATCCTTCACTGCTGAGGTTGAAAAAACTTTCATTCAATGCACAGGTGCTAAACTGATAGTTTTCAAATGTTTCCAAGTGCCCCAAACCTTGAAAGTGACCATCCCAAATCTGGGTCACCATCTGTTCTTGAGGGATCAAGTCACCATGTGTGTCTCTGACACAATGTCCAGTCAGGCCTCAGTTGAAATGAGTCCGATGATTTTAAGTGTAAGATGGCTAAACCACACCATCAGCTTCAAGTTGGATTCACATCCACTGAAATGGATTGGTAAAAATGGCCCACTAGGCCAGGCGCTGAGGTTCACGCCTATAATCCCAGTGCTTTGGGAGGCCAAGGTGAGAGAATTGCCTGAGCTCACCTCCCTGGGCAACTTGATGAGACCTCATCTCTGCAATAAATCTAAAAATTAGCCAGGTATGAGGATGCATGCCCATAGTTCCAGCTACTTGGAAGACTGAGGCAGAAGGATCATTGGAGACTAGCAGATCAAGACTGCAATGACCATGATTGTGCCCCTGCCCTCCATCCTAACCAATAGAAAGATACTCAAACTAAAAAAAAAAAGACTCACTTGGCATGTGCCTGGGAGTGGGATTTTTCTTTGCGTTTAGCAGATCCAAATGACCACGCAATTACTCTCCCTCATGCCTCAAAATCCACCTCCACAATTAAGGCGTCAATGATGTTGACTTTCCAGGAAGCCGCATCCTGGGACCACTGGCACAGCAATGAAACTGTGGTGAGATCTGGATGGGGATTTCTCCCAAAGTGACTGGACTGGACTCTGGTTGGAGAAATCAGAAGGACGCGTAACAATGGGCAGTGCCTGGACATCAACCCGTCACCAAGAGGTTTAGGAAGCAGGTGGCCCCTGGGATGAGGAGGAGGCTAGTGGTCTGGAACGACCCTAGTGCCGGTGGAGAAGATTCTAAGCTGTGTAGAGATGCGAGAGGTTAAGTCCGCCCAACGTGGGCTAGGAACAGATCCATTGGAATGTCACCATGTCGCCGTCACTGCCCATCCGGTCATGTCCCTAATGATCCTCTCCAAACTTACTCCCCGTGGTGACCTCGTGGCAGGAAGTCAGCAGCCAGCAGGACTTTGATGGGAAGAGACACACCATCCTGTCCCGACCTCCGCCTGTAGCCAGCGCATACTGGAATGGAGTTCTGCAGACCAGTGACTCATCCACCAGGTGCCATTCCTGTGCCAGAGTTCCCAGCGTGCCCTGCATTCTGGGATTGTTGTCTGGCAGCACAGAGACCAGCCGACCAAGAGTCATTCAGACGCCAGAGTTCCCAGCATACGCCTCGAGGCACTCCATATTCTGCTCCTCACCCCAACTTTCAGTGCAGGGACGCAGCCCAGCTTTAAAGTTCTGCAAGCAAAAACGAGCTTCTCCACCCGCCCATAACCCAGACTGATCTCATCTCCTGTCACTCGAGATCAGAGGGGTGGGTCTGGCGTTTCATCCAATCAGTAGATGGTGATTTAGTAATTGTCCAATCAGAGAGTAGCCGGAAGTGAGAGGGCGGCTTCCGGGCTCTGACCGGGCTTTTTGTATTTTGCGCTGCGGAAATGCTGAATCATCTCAGAAAGAACTATGTGTTTTCGCTTCAGTTGCTGTTGCCCTGTGACCAGCAGGTCCCCGGAGTCAGTAGGAAGGATGCCTGGACACCCAAAATACGGGAGATGATGAGTATTTGAGCTGGTACGAGAGTGGGAGCGGAGATGGGGCCGGATGACACGGCTGTGCCGAGACCGGCCTCCCCCACAGCTCTGATCCTGGACCCATCCCCGCCGGTGTCTCGGGCTGGTCCACTCGGCGCTGGGTGAAAATGGGCTGGGACTCCGGGGTCCTTTCCCAGCGGCGACCTCACCCGCATAACCCTCTCCAAACAGCCCCGCTCTCCAGGTGAATGGGACCCGGGAGGACCGTGGGGAGGATCTGACCCGTTGGAGGCACGTGGTGGGGGGGAGACTGGTCCAGGCCCCATCGCTCTCCTCCCTAAGGTTAAACGAAGGCAGCGTCACAGCCTAAGAAGTTTATTTGGGCCAACAGTGGATCGTGAGCCCAGAAGCCCCAGCCAGGTTTCGTGTTGGGGGTCCCTGGAGAGCCAGGGGCGGGGGGGGGGAGGCTTTGAATAGGGTCAGGGGGAAGCCGGTCACAGGCAGTTGCTGGTGGGTGGCAGCTTTGCCATCTCCTGATTTGGAGTATCCAGGTGGAAATCCCCAGGGTATGTGATCAGGGTCATTAGCAGTTGGTGTCACCAGGTACAAACCCTGTTCTGCTTGTAGCAAGATAGTCAAGGCAAGGAGTTGGAGCAGTGTCTGTGACTTTATTTAGGAAGGACATAAAACCCAGAAGATGAGGGGTCGGTGTCCTAAAGACCCCTCCTGGGTCGTGTGTGCTTTCTTTGGATCTTTATTCAGGCTGGGGGGCAGAGGGGGACCGAGATCAAGAGGTGGCTTAGACCTGCAGCCATTAGGGCAATGAGAGAAGTCCTGGAGAATGGTGAATTCTCTTTCTCCTTGGTTCACAGTCTCCGTGTTCCTTTATTTAGCAAAATAGAGATAGTGCCCATACTCCGACTTTTCCAGAGTTAGTCTGGACAGCTGCATACTTGTACCCACTTTATCTTACTAGCATCTCAACGTTATTTTAGCTGTGTGCAAGCATGCAACTGGCCAGAGATCCCCCAGTGTAAAACGGAGTTATGTCAGACGTTTAACAGTTGACTGTCCCATTTGTTTTTGATTAACTCTAAGCATTTTTATGTGATTTTTTGGGGTTTTTTGAGTTGGAATCTCACTGTCATCCAGGCTGGAGTGCAGTAGCAGTCTCACGGCCACCACAGCCTTGACTACTGGGTTCAGGTGATCCTTCTGCCTCTGCCTTCCAAGTAGCTGGAATCACAGGCATGTACAACCATACCCAACAAATTTTTTGATTTATTGTAGAGATGGGGTCTTGCCAGGTTGTCCAAGTTGGTCTCAAGACCAGGGACCCAGGCAATCCTCTCACGTTGGCCTCCGAAAATGCTGGGATTATAGACAAGAACAACCACACTCAGCCCATTTTTATTTTTTAAAATTAGTAATTTTCAAGAAATCAATTTTAGATTGGCAACTGGTTACTGGGCACATTTAGACTTGTTGCTGTTGTTGAAGGGACAAGGCAGAAATGATTTCTATCCTCTTGATGATCTTGCACTTGTGAAGAAAGAAAAACTATGCCAAAGGACAAGGTAAACCCACCTCAGGAAGATGGTGGAAGAATCCACAAATCAGAGGAAACCTCAGGCACACAGGAGACTAAGTGTAGGGACTCCCAAGAGTGTGGTGAGACTCGGATTAAAAATAAATACATTCAATTTAATTTTAAAATGAATAAAGCCATATTTTCAACATGAAGGTGTGACCTGATAAGATAATCTCACCTGAGAAGAAATCCCAGAGAAGTAGGAGGAAAAGAAAAATGTCTGTGTTGGGCCAGGCTCGGTGGCTCAGCCTGTAATCCCAGTGCTTTGGGAGGCCGAGGTGAGTGGATTGCCTGAGCCTGTGGGTTTGAGACCTGCCTGGGCAACTTGGTGAGACCTCGTCGCTACAATAAGTCTAAAATTCACTGGACGTGGTTGTACATGCAGTAATTCCAGCTACTTGGAAGGCTGAGGCAGAAGGATCTCCAGAGCCCAGCAGTTTGAGGCTGCAGTGGCTGGGAGCACCCACTGCACTGCAGTCTGGGTGACAGAGTGAGACTCCAACTCAAAAAAAAAAAAAGGCTGATTCTCAGGTAAATGTGTCCCAGGGCAGAAGAAATGACTGTGTTTAAAAATTGCAAACCTTCCTGCTGTCCTTGTGATGGTCCTGCCTAATAAGTCTGTTTCAATTATTTTTGTTCTTCCTGTGATATTCAATGGGTCTGTTGGACACTGCTCCCTACATAGCCTCCTCTGTTCTCTTCATCCATACTGCTTAGATGCCATGAATTGTGCTCACCATGAATGTATGACCTACAGTATTAAAAATGTTCTCTTGTGACTGAGGAATATGGGAAGGCATGGATACCTAAGACTCCCACTGGTGATGGGGTAGATCTTCAGATCCTGGGTAAGGAAGGGAACATTTTTATTTTCTTTTTTCTTTTTTTTTATGGAATTGGAGTCTCCTCTCTCATCCAGACTGAAGTGCAGAGGCACATTAATGGCCACCACAGTCTTGACCTGCTGGGCTCAGGTGATCCATCTGTCTCAGCTTTCCAAGTAGCTGGAATTACGGGCATGTACAACCATGCTCAATTTTTTGATTTATTGTAGAGATGAGGTCTCAAGTTACCCAGACTGGACTCACATCCATGCGTTCAGGTAGTCCATGCATCTCAACCTCCCAAAGTGCTGAGTTTATAGGCATGAGCCAAGTGCCCAGCCAAAACAAGTAAAATTAAGGTTCTGTCTGGATGCTCCATCAGCTCCATCAGCTCCATGGAGAACATGGTTAATAAAATGCACATTTAAGCAGGGTGGCAGTTACTGTCCAGAATAACTCAGGAAATTCTGGAAAAGAATAATTAGAAGACACTTGCTCTCTGGGATGATAAAAGCAAGCAATATATATATACTTTTGGAGATTACTTGCTATGGAAAATACCTGTAGGCTGGTTTCTGCCTACAATATGTTTCTTTATTATTAAACTGCATTGACAAATTACTATATTGGTCAGGTGTGGTGGTTTAGCCTGTAATCCTAGCAATTTGGGAGGCTGAGACAAGAGAATTACCTGAGGTTTGGGGTTTGAGACCAGCCTGAGTAACTTGGTGAGACCTCATCTCTACAATAAATCATAACCAGCCAGGCATGGTTGCATGCATCTGTAGTTCCAAGTACTTGGAAGGCTGAGGCAGAAGGATCACCTAAGCACAGCAGGTCAACACTGCAGTGGCCATGAGCGTACCACTGCACTCAAGTCTGGGCAACAAGAGTGAGACTCCATCTTAAAAAACAATAAGAAATTACTATATTTTTTGGCCAATTAGATCTCAGCATGGATTTTGTGTTGCACCTGTGTGCCTTGGCTATGGAGGTACACAACTTGGGAGGCTATGGAGAATGTATTCTTTCAGCCCAGAAGATTGAGACTGCAATGAGCTGTGATTGTGCCACTGCGCCCTAGCATTGGCAAGAATGAGACCCATCAACTTAAGAAAAGTGTAGAACCTCAGACTAACCCTATATCTCCGGAATCAAAATTTACATTTTAACAAAATGTTCATTTCATTGTTTTGCCCATTAAAACTCGATGAGAATCTTACAGTTCACTGTGAGTTTTCCACCCAAGAAGTATATGCAAAGTATTCTATGTGATGGAAATATCTTATTGAAAAATGTACATCCCTGTGTTGGTGTCCAAGTTTATGCTGTATCCATCAAAAGAGCAGAGTGTCCACACTGGCAGAGTGAATTTTATTTCAAATTCTTCTCAGATTTAAAGCATTAGAGAATATTTCTGTGTTAAAAATTATCTTATTGCATAATTCTAGTTGTCATATCACCTGAACCCTGTTCCCTTCACTCTGGTTTTACATAGAGGCCATGGTCACTTGGTAAATATGTGTTGTGGTTGCTGTTTTCAAGGGTTGTTGGTATTCAGGGATGTGGCCATAGAATTTGCTAAAGAGGAGTGGGTGTTTCTGGACCCCACTCAGTGTACAATTACAGGAATGTGATGTTAGAGAACCACAGAAATCTGGTTTGTCTAGGTGAGGAGAGTTTTAACACACAATCCCCATTTCAACTAAGGATTTCATGGCCTTCCTCTGTAGAATGTTTTCTGGGAATTTCTGCTCTGTGCAAATGAGTTTCAGATTCCTGTTATCAAAGAAAAGTTGGTGATTTGTCACAGAACATAATTAGAGATGTTTCATTTTGACAGGAAGCATTCTCTATTTTGAATTGATATGTGTCCTCTCTATATTACTAGTAACTCCAGAAACTTGGTGGCATAGAATATTGTTGCCCACACCTCATTCCAGTTGCTGCCATAAGTTTGTGACTCACTAGTACTGAGCTAGGAAGTAACAAATTTAAGGTTGAGTGTGGTGGCTCAAGCCTGTAATTCCAGTATTTTGGGAGGTTGTGGTAAGAGGATTGCCCGAGTCCATGAGTTTAAGAACGGCCTGGGCAACTTGACCAGACCACATCTCTACAACAAATCAAAAAATTAGCCAGCCATGATAGCACACACCTGTATTTCTGGCTACTTGGAAGACCTAGGAGAAGAATTGTCTGAGCCTAGCAGGTCAATGCTGCAGTGGCCACGGACATGCCACTGCACTCCAACCTGGGCAACAGAGTGAAACTCCAACTCAAAAACAAAAAAACAAAACAAGAACCCACAAATTTAAAATTTTGTCTATATGTACTAAAGGTTTTATTGGGGAACAGTATTTTGGGATAATTTTTTAGAATCTTGTATGATGTGTTTTCTACTGATCATAATACTAGGTTTGTAATTGAAGAATCCCGGCAAGATTCATGTTATGTTTCTCTAATTACACAGGACTTGCTGTCTCTAAAACAGACCTGATCACCTATCTGGAGCAAAGGAAAAAGCCCTGGGAAATGAAGAGACACAGCACATCAACCAAATCTCCAGGTAGGTGGGAGTGAAAGAATCAGATGACACAGATTTAGGAAACAGAGCTTGAAATGTGGGTTGCAAAGGTGGTATGCTCCAATGAAAATGGTTTCTGAGAAGCCCGGGCTTCTTTCTCTTACTATCACAGAGGGATATCTATTAATCCATGTTCTGAAATTCTCCAAAAGCTGTGCTTCTTCAATGATCTCCTTTCAAGGCTACAGAGGAAATCAAAGTTCACTTAATGGTTTGTTAGGGACTACCTTTCTGATGTTTTTGAAGATGTGCAAATATCTGCTAAGTTATTTAGAAAATCCATGTCAAACTATTTTTTAAACTTTTTTTTTGTATCATTTTGAAAATAGGTGAGAGAGAGTTATTTGAGAAATTTTAAGAACTCTCTGGACAGATGTTTTCTGCTTTTATGATTTTCTATCCTAGGGAGGTTTCCAATGTGATTTTATTTAAATTCATACTCCATAATTCTACCAGGACAAAAACTTCCTCTCTTGATTGAAGAAATCCTGTTATTTTACTTTAATTTTTCTAAGTATGGACTGAGATTGGTCATTTATTTCTACATATCTGAATTCTTAAGTATACTATGTCACATAGAACATTGAAAACATATTAAATGCCTACATGTTACCTTGTTTTTTAATAGCTCTTATATTTTTCTTTAGTATGAAGCTTAGTACTACTTTACATATATGCTTATATACGTATACACGTGTGTGTGTTTATGTGTGTGTGATTAACATCTGATTTTTTTTTTTGAGTTGGAGTCTCACTCTGTTGCGCAGACTGGAGTGCGGTGGCTGCTCCCGGCCACCACAGCCTCGACATGCTGGGTTCCGGCAATCCTCCCACCTCAGCCTTCCAAGTAGCTGGAATTACAGGCATGCGCCACCACGCCCAACTGACTTTTTTTTTTTTTTAATTGTAGAGATGAGTTCTCACTGCCCAGGTGGGTCTCAAGCCCGTGGGCTCAGGCAATCCACTCACCTCATCCTCCCAAAGGTACAGGATTACAGGCTGAGCCACCGAGCCTGGCTAACATCTGATTTTTTATACATAAAAATGTATAAACATGTTGTGTTTAATGTAATAATTTGATATGCCTAAACATAGTGAAATGATGATTATAATTATGCTAAAGAAAATACTGAGTTGGCTTGGTGGCTCAACCTGTAATCCTGCTCTTTGGGAGGCTGAAATGAGTGAATTGCCTGAACCTGCGGGTTCGAGACCTGCCTGGTCAACTTGGCAAGACCTCATCTCTACAATAAATCAAAAAAAAAAAAAATTAGCCAGGCATGGTACCATGCAACTGTAGTTCCGGCTGCTTAGAAGGCTGAAGCGGAAGGATTGCTGGAGCCCAGCAGGTCAAGACCACGTAGTTGCCATTTTCATGTTTTGTAAGGAAAACACATAATGTTCATTATTTTAGCAAATTTTGTAAGTGTACTTGACATTATTATTAACTGCAAGTCACTCTGCTATACATTAGTTTCCTAAAACTCATTGATATTGAAATTTTGTACCATTGAAAAACATCTCCCATTTTTCCCACCTGCTGGTCCAGATGACAACCTTGGACTTTCTTCCTCTGTGAATGCAATCTTTTTTTATTCCACACATGAGTGAAATTATGCAGTATACTTTTTTTCCCGAGTTGGAGTCTCACTACTGCCCAGGCTGGAGCACAGTGGCATGTTAATGGCCGCTGTAGCCATGACCTGCTGTGCTCAGGTGAATCTTCCACCTCAGCTTTCCAAGTAGCTGGAAATACAGGTTTGAGATAGCTCGCCCAGCTTTTTTTTTTTTTTTTTTTTTTTTTTTTACATGGAAAGGTTGATATTGATCAGCTGGGCTATGGATTGTGGGTGCTTCTCAAATATGGTGTCAGGATTTATTGACTCCATTTTATGAGAACCAAAGATTGTCCTCTTTCATTTTTAGATTCCATAACCTTTACATCCCTTGTATACTGTCTGTAGTATTAAAGCATTTCTGGTGCTGTAAAAAATGTTAATTTTTTACTCAATAGACTCAAACCTGTCATCCATAATATGCTCTCATTTTCTTCAGTACTCCATGTCAGGATGACAAAAACCAGTCAAAAGACATCTTCACAAAAATCCAAAACTTTGAAAGCTTGATCCAGTTTTCTAGGTCTCTCCAGAAAGAGACATGGAACATGGGGACTTTTCTTCTGAGCCCACCGTGCTGTTCTGGGGAGGAGGGGAACATGTAGTAGACAGTCTGCCAGTCATGTCTGGTCACATTTCTGAAGAAAAGTAGAGTCCTGGAATATAAAGGACGCAAAACCCATAGCCATTCGCTTGTGTAGATGGGAATACTTGTGCGAGTGACACAGATGAGCAATCCAAATGGCCCTGAGGAAGCCTGACTTTAAAATGTGGGTTGGAGCCGGGCTCAGTGGCTCAGCCTGTAATCCCTCGCCTTTGGGAGGCTGAGGTGAGTGGATTGCCTGAGCCCGCGGGTTCGAGACCCGCTTGGGCAGCGAGACCTCATCTCTACATAAATAAAAAAAAAATCAGCCGGGCGTGGTAGCGCATGCCCTGTAATTCCGGCTAACTCGGAA